GCGTGCCTTCGTGGTGTAGTGGTTCTGCACGCTGGGCGGGATTCCAGAGGTCCGTGGTTCGATTCCCGGCGAAGGGGTTTACTCATTTTCATTTTTCCTGCTTCCAAAAAATATATACCTAATGTCTCTATATCTATTACTTTTTTATTATTATATTTTTTACAACAGCTAGATTATGTCAAATTTTCTTAATAATGATTTTCGAAAGATCAACTGTAATTTACATAGTCCAGATGCTCTACATTTTATGATGATTTATTTCAAGTTGTGAATAATAAATTTTAATTATTACTTAATCACTTATTCTGAAACTTCTGCTGTTGTGTCAAATGCGATTACTCGCCTTGACACGTTCATAACCTAAATTAGGCCGTTAGGTTGAATCAAGTCGACAAGTAGAATTACAATACATTTTTGTATGTCGCACAATACGTGCATACAGTTAAATTGACCCAAATTTTAATGCTTGATTTTATTGGTTTCCATGGTTACTACAATCCTCTTTGTTTTGTTCGTATTGTTTCTGTCACAGCATTATTAAAGATTTGCTACTTGCAGTCAAACTTATCGTAACATTTTAAGAAACGCTTCAAATTCTTTCTCGCATTGAAGTTTCGAAGGAATTGCTCAAATCGTTATTCAGTTAGAATTTCTATATTTAACATTACACTTTTATGGAAAAAAAACTATATATTTTTTTATATTTTGACCCACTTATAATTACAAGTTACATTGAAGCATGTTTTTTTTCGGCCATATGTTGTAGGGACATTAGATTATTTCGAAGCAGGAGACATGAAATATGTGCAAGGCCTTCACCAGGACACGAACTTCTGACCTCTCGAACATGCCCGAAAGTGCTGACCATTATACACCGAAGGCATGTTAAGAAGGCGAGAGAAATACCTTATATACTCCCTCTTTTAAAGGGAGACTGGTGATTAGGAGACCCAGTCGCCAAATCCTGGTGGAGGAGAATCATCATCCAACCTTTTCTAGTTCGGGTGCCACTATAGAGACATTAAGTTACTTCGAAGCAGGAGATATGCAAAATGTGCAATGCCCTCGCCGAGACTCGAACCTCGGACCTCTCGAATACGCGCCGAGCGTGTTGACCATTACACCACGAAGGCATGGTAAGAAGGCTGGAGAAATACAGTGTTGCCGATGATTACTTATTGCATTGTTTGAAATCTCAAGCAAAACGCTTCTAATTTCTTTCTGACATAGGGAAGTAATTCATTATGTGAGCTTTTCGTTTACATTACAAAACATATTTTTCATTCAGTACAAAAAGTATTGATTCAAGTAAAACTCTTGTATCAAACAAAACTGGAAATGCTGTAAAATTTTCATTTTATACTTAAACAGACAGTTTAAGACACATTTTTTCTCTATTCTTGTGGTTTCTCTTTTTATTCGCGCAACCTTTACGTCTGTTAATGGATGTTATATATTGATTAGGTACTGTTAGACGGAGCTTCAGGCATCCTAGCTTTAGAATACTTTGAAAACTTGGAATTAGGAATGCAATAACGAAGGCGCCAAACCTGAAAGCACCGAAGGCATATCAATAATTCTTCTTGTAAAATACTCTATCAAATATGTAGATAAATTACATATGTGGGAGTTACTTACCTTCGGGTTATCGTTTCGTTTCGTTTCGGTATACGAAACAAAACGAAAGAATATCGCAATTACAAGAAAGGTAACAGTATATAAGCATAACAGTATATAAGTATATACATAAAAGGTAACAGTATCATTCGCGTAAACAGTATGTATACTACTATCCATCCAAAATGCAACACGAAGAAAGACAAGAGATATCAAAGCCAAATTTATTTCAGAGATTACACATAGTATCAATGTTAATTGGTTTTAAATTCAGCCTTCTTGTAGTTGAGGAAGACTAGAAAATAAATAACGATTATTGCCTTTCCATTTGTCAGTAAGCGCTGCTACTTGCCAGGATACTCAGTGAAAGAGGCTTTGGATATGTTATTGGGGAATGGCAGCCCATGCTGCCTCTACACATAACCAAAGTTCATCTGGTGTACCCGCCGGCTTGACTTCTGGATTAGGCGTTCTGCAGTTATTGACCAGACATTTTCGATGGCCAATAGAACTGGACAACAGGCAGGTCATGGTAACAGTATATGGAGAACAGGCAGGGCACAGAAGTAGCAGAAACTGAAAATGATATGGAAACATTTTTTTCGCATACACTGTTCTGATTAAGAATTATGTCTGCTTCATAAATATTCTTTTTCGATGAAACGTTTACGAGTTGCAACTTAGCATCTTAGATTTATTGACAAACTGAAACGGTATCAGTGACAAGAACAAAATCAAAATTTTCTTCTTGGGCTCATTCTTGGGTAATCAAGTGTGTGTAAATGCAAGATTTTAGTGAAGTAATCGGTCATTTGAGTTTTCATAGTAAACTCAGTATGTTGAATTTATTCTTAGACGATGAAGGTGTTCAAGAGTGGGAGGAAGACTAAGAAAGGCACAGAATATAAAATATCCAGTCATTATGCCTAAATCACACTATATTACAGAACTGTTAATATAACTATAAGTATCTTCACAGAAGAAATGAAAATGCTGGATTCAGAAATCAAGCAGAGTAACTGGATTATTAAGGCATGAGCAGCTTTTCCGTAGTTCATTCGAGGAATGTGTAACATGAAATGTGAAGTCTGTTACTATGCCCCCGTGGTTGAGACTGCCTAGGTACAGATCCTAACCAGTACTTCCCAGGAGTTCGCCTGAGTCAACCCCCGGGGGGGGATGCTGTTGATACAGAAGTGAGCTGTCATATCAGTCTTCTGCATTCTAGAGTGAAGAATCTGATCTTCCAGCATTCTAGAGTGAATCCCTCAAGAGTTTGTCGAAATGTGCAGTTGACTTTTCTGGTTTTTTTAAGTTAAACCGAAGAAAGGCGCGGTGTTCGAAGAGTGAAGATTTATAAAGAAGAGAAGATTCGTAGATGGTGGTGTATTTAATTATGGCAAAGCACACTAGGGCTATCTGCCTAAGGGGAGGGATGCCTTTCGTGGAGGACTTTCTAAGGGAAACTGGCTCGTATACACGTTACACATGGGGAAAACCACGAAAACGCCCATGCAGCCAGCCCGTTCGCGGGATTCGAACCTCGGACCGAACTACCAGTGTTCAGCGTCTTTACCGCTCGGCCGCTGGTGGGCTCAGAAGATTCGTAGAAGAAGCAGATTTGTGTTTTCGTATGTTTTAGTGCCAAGGCAGCGCATTTAGAACACGTTGGAGACATGACGACAGATTCGTTCATAGCAGTTCTAAAACGGTTCATCTCTAGACGTATAAATGCATAGTGATTGCGGCACTAATTTTATGGGTGCCAACAGACAACTGAAAGCATATCGTTCTGACCAAAAGGTAGCTGGGTACTTAATAGAGGAACAAATTTAAGTACAATTACAATCCGCTCCTGCTCCATACTTTGAGGGACTGTGGGTAACCACGGTAAAGTGTACGAAGTATCACTTAAGAAAGTACAATTTGTTAAGTTCTAACGTTTGAAGAATTTTGTACTTGCCTAGCATAAGCTGAAGCATGTCTGGACCATTAGTAGCGATTTCAAGTGATCCAGATGATTTTTCCGCAATTACACCTGGTCACCTTTTGATGAGAACATCGTTAAGGTTATTCCAGCGAGAAACTAATACCTTGTAATAGTTGAAAACTAGTTCAACAAGTTTCTCAGTCCTTCTGGAAGAGCCCACCAGCGGCAGAGCGGTAAAGGCGCTGAAAGCTGGTAGTTCGGTCCGATGTTCGAATCCCGCGAACGGGCTGGCTGCATGGTCGTTTTCGTGGTTTTCCCCATGTGTAACGTGTATACGAACCAGTTTCCCTTAGAAAGTTCTCCACGAAGGCATCCCTTCCTTTAGGCAGATAGCCCTCGTGTGCTTTGCCATAATTGAATAATGTTAATCCTTCTGGAAGAAATGGTCTAAGAAGTATTTGATTCAACTTCCATTACGCATAAAGTGGCATAGTGCGTCGGAAAATATTAAAATAAATGACCTCGTAATAATTAAGGAAAATAACACTCCATTATTAAAATGGAAACTAGGACATATCACCAAAATTTTCCCAGGTAATGATTACAGAATCCGTGTTTTAAAATTATAAGCTGCTGATGGTGAATATTCATAAACTGTGTATTACCCCTAGAAGGTTAACTGCTGTGAAAAGATTTGAATTTAAACCCGATATTCATTTCGAATACTCAAAAGTTTTAATGTTATTAATTAATTATGTTATTTACGTAATACATTGTTTTACACCCTGTGTTATTTTAGGCTTGGTATTGCTCATTTATACGCATGAACTGTTTAGTATAAAAATTGTTTCAATAATGTTAAGTAATAATTTCATTTAAGAGGTAGCTTGATGTTCCGAAAGGCTATCCGTAGGGAGTATGTTGAGATCTCTCATAGAGGTCATTGTAGCAGCCCTCAATTATGTGAGAAAAAATTCGTGAGAAAATGTGTTTCGGTATGAGTCAGCGCTGGCAAGGGTTCATAATGTTGTGTGACGAGTGGCGTAACTTATATTTAGTATATAATTTACTGTGTAATATAATCTAGTTCATGAAAACATTTTATTTAAAATGTGAAGCAGTTTGAAGCAGCGCACTTCACACGTAAAGTACGCATATAAATCTTCAACTACTAGAAGTTACTTCTGACATTTTCGAACACTTCGCACAGTGCATATTTGAATTTCCAATAAGATAACAAAAAACGTTTGTAGCAACATAGAAGGCGATATTATTTAAAGTATGAGTTGTGAATTTGGTGTAAGAAAAGGCCAAGGCGATTTTTTAAAGGCTTGGGAAAGCATACTCAAGCCAGTACTTCCAATAAATTATCATCGATGACAGAATGGAAATTTGCCAACGGTACAGATGCAGACCATCGAAATGAAGGCATTACAGTTTTTAAAAGACTTACTTTTCGCCTTCGAGGCACACTGGACAGCAACTGAAGATCTGTCTTCTTGAAATGAAGAGGTGCCTCTGTGGAGACGATTCTCTGTATGGAAGGCTTAGGGACAAAACCATCCAAACTGTAGATGGCAGGTCTCGTGGGCTTCGGTTGTAGTAGTTTTAGAAGCACTTGTGGAGCAGGTGTCGTAGGTGTTGGAATTCGGAACCTTTTCGACGCTGCTGGTCGAGCTCTCAAGGGCCATACTACGGATAAAGGATTTTCCGATGCAGCGCTGTCGAAAGTGTCCATGCGCCTCCTAGTGAGAAAAGACAGTTTAATTAGTAAAACGATAATTCAGAAGTCAAACAACAAAAATCAGCATTATATTTACAAAACTGTACTGTGAAAATTTTGTAAATATAACGCTGATTTTTGTTGTTTGACTTCTGAATTAGTATTTATTCGGCGTTTTATTGTGTCTTAATTAGTAAAACGATACCTGACAATGTGTTTCTTGGGTAATTGAATGAATTTCTTTAGAGGACATCCACTTGAATCAAGGATATCCCACTTGAAATGCCCTTAAACTAATTTCCTCTTGTTTCCCTAAAACGGAGGGCGTATTGTAAAAACAAAATATCAAAATGCCTTCCTCTCGAATGAAAATCTTGATCTCTTATATAACGGCGGTATTGCCAAAATGTGACTGTTTTACAAATGCTAGTTTAAAATCAGTTTAGAAGTTATATGATACAATGCTTATATAGTGACATATTTCGTTGTTTAACTGTTTCCTGTATGGTAAACTTATTTATGTGCCTATTTTTATTTTAATTAATTTACTGATTTATTAATTTATGCAATTTTTTTTGTTATTACAAATATTTTTGCACTGTCATTTTCTCGAGCGTTTTGACTTTTCTTTTGCAATAAAATTTCAGTCTTCAACCTTCCCTCGAGAACACCAGCTTGACTTGTTCGGGAGAAACTTAGGCATTCACATCAATCTTGATAAGTTCTCACAACTTTTTAATTAAAGTTTCACCAACACAAGTTAATTTGATATTTCCAAATTGGTAATTATGATCCCGCACTTGAAAAGCCATTCAAGCCGCATTAATTTTCGGAATCCAGTTTACTCCTATTCTCTCCAATGAATCCCCTACTCCAAGTTTTTTAACGATGAAGTTATACTTTATAAATCATAACAAAGCAAGAGAAAGACTTTACATATACTATCATTTTGTACATATTCTGCAAATGTGTTTACTTTCGTTCATTTTGCATTACTTTTATTTTCCATCTGTGAGTTTTTCAATCAATTTATTTGCAATTGTATAGCATGTATCCTTCACTAAGCTGTCTACACGACTATCACACGAAAACACTACTTCCACATCCTCTCCTCTGAAACGCCCTAGTTGGCTGAACAGAAATCTAACTTTTTCTTTCCCATTTCCTCCTTGCACCTAAGTTGCTCACCAGCTCGAACTAGCCCCATTTCTCAGCATCTTAGCGCTTATTCTCCGTACGCCGCTACTTGTCTAGGAGCAAATCCAAAGATAGATTAAGACCCACAATGACTAAATGCGTGTGCACCACCACAATCCACGATCGAAAACATAGATAAAATTTCGAATGTTTGATATTGCCCGGTCGGTACTTGAACAGAACTACCCTAGTAAAAGATGTCAAATCTTCCAAAATGCGTCAAACTCTGCAAACTATGCATGTAATAATGCTTCAGTTTTATTAAGTAACTTCGCACTAGTCCTTTTGGCAATTAAGTTTAATAAGATATCAGTCTCTTCGTTTTGTGAAAGGTGGTTGCGTTTACACATAAGTATAGTACATTATAATCCAAATAATCACCTATTTATATGAAAAACTTTGTTTACTTGTAGAAACTAATAAACAATTTCTCATTTTTTAAAAAATGTTACTGGAAAGTCTTCTTTCAAGCTGTAGGTTTCACCACCTGCCCAGTGAGCATGCTGGCTGCAAAGGGTTTTCGTATTACGCAGACGAAAAGGGCAGGCGCCTAGTCATACCCAAATAACTCCACCCCGGGTGTGGGGTAGGTAGTGTCTGTATTTAGGCAGTCTCGGACACGGGAGTATAAAATCATTGAGCTTGGCCGTTCCCCGTGACCCGTGGGTGTTCGCGGGTAAAACCGTCCCCGTTTATTCGGGTGGCCCACAGGGTTAGGTGTCGTCAGCCCCGTATTAGACCCGGTGCAAGGGCATTCCGCGTAGTACTGGCAGGTAGCATCTCTAACGGCCAATCAGATATCCAGGCGTGTAGTTCTCCGCCACTGTGAAACTTGAAAACTGGGAGTGGTGACCTCGCGGGCCAAGGAGGTAGCAATGGTTATAGAGAAACTTTTAAAATCTGCCACCTCAGATTAGGAGCCCGGCATGGTAGCATGATTAGAGTATTTTATCCTCTTGGGAACTCTTGGGAACTGGCGACCCACCCCTTGCCTAATATGGGGGTTTCTCAGCTGGGGCCAGTTCGTGTAATGTCTTAGAGAAGGAGCACGTGTACAGGTATTATTTTTATGCCGAAATAACGTAGTCTAAGCATTTAAATTTTAGTTTTTATGTTACTTTTTATTTACATACTTACTGATTTGCAAAATGATGTAGTATGACATGAAACGATATTAAAATCCACAATGAAAGAATTATACAAAAACTTAGAAAAAATTACGGAAAATCGAATTAAATGCAAATATTTCGGAACTGCTATTTAGACATTGTTACATCGGTATTTTGATCTTTGGAGTTGTACCAAATTGGACATATAACAACGAACTTTTCCAGTAAGAAATAAAGAGAGGAAAGAATTAAATGACTAATCCGTTCATACAAAACATTTCGATTGCTACTAATATAACGCTGTTTAACACTAAAATACAAATACAGTGGATGAAAGTTTATTTTATCTCTTTTCTTCCGTGAAGTCCTACTTGGCCTTGGTTGAGGAATACCATGTCTGACTTTTACTAAAAATCTGTCGAATGATCTTCGCTTCTGCCTTCTCAGAATGTTCCGGAAAGGTGACATTATTTGGTAATTCCAGACACGCTGCTGTTATGGCTTGCTAGAGCTCTGTGCGCCGCTGACTGCCGTGCCGAAGGGCCTAGGTTCGAATCTCGGACAAGAGATGGATGTTTGTAAATGTATAATGTTGGTGCGGCATGGCGACACTCTAAATAAACGGCGATCCGAAAGTCCTCTCGTATGGTTTGGTGGAAAGGTTGAGGGATGGGAGATCCTTGGACCCGTCCCCTCCGGGGTGCTCGCCTTCAAAATTGGGGGCAGAACTGAGCTAAATAGCACTGCCACATCAATGGTGCTCGAGGCGGTTGCTAACAGCAGGCTCAATCTAGCGCTCCTTGCCACGAGGAATTTAGTGGGCTTGGGCTGACCAAACGTCAGACGAGTGAGCATAAGCAACAACAACAACAATAGAGCTTTGTTGGGATGGAACTTTCCTGCAGAGGTTTTGACATCCATTTATTTCCTAAACATTTGTCATCAGATCCGGAAACCATGACTATTTACCTCTTTTCTTCTGTTAAATACTTACTTCGCCTGGTTGAGGGATCACCAGGTCTGACGTTTACTAAAAATGTGATCAAAGAACTTTGCTTCTGGCCTCCCTTCTGGAAGTTTCGGAAATGTGAAATTGTTTGGTGATTCCAGACACAGTGCTGTTACGCTTTGTTTGAACTTTGTTGAGATGGTACTTTCCTCCAAAGGCTTTGACATTCTTTTATTTGGCATCACATCTACTATCAAAAGTTGTTGTATATTTTTTATCGTGTGTTTGTGCAAAATTGGTCGTAGCATGGTCTCAAAAAAGGTAGACAAGGATGCGCTCATAGAAATGGAGTCCTGTTTCAAACAAATATCGTACACCGACCAAAAATTTTTGCATCCAAATATACATAGCTGATCTTTATTTTCATCAATTTTCTTCAAAAACCATTACCATAGAATATTGCTATCATTAGACTAAAATTACTACTATGATTAGAATCAAAATATTGCTGTATTTCAAGATATGCTGTCTACAAATATGGACTTGTAAGGTTTATCCTAAGTTTTTAGCGATTATCTTTAGTTAAACTGCTTTCTTGTCCCTTCTAATTTCAGCTTTCAAATTTCCTGCCAGAATGTGTTTTTAGAATCGCGGTTAACGCAAATGAAAGAAGAGCGGTACTTAAGTCGAAGTTTCACCGACTTCATTAGAGAGCCAGAGATTCTGACTAGCGCGCGTTATCTTTTGGCTACACTCTCTCTAGCTATTATTACGCTCGGCCATATTTCAGGCTTTTGATAGTTTCGCCGTTTAGTTAGCGTTTAAGGGGCCAACTCCTGTAGAATTTTGATTGCCTAGGCTATATTGTTTTAGTTAAGCATTAGTTTAATTCTTAGTATTCTTCAGTTGACCAAGTGGAGGCTGTTCTGTACGTCTTGAGAAAGGGCCATCTGTAAACTTTATTTTGAGCAAGAAAGGGTAATTAACCCTTCTTGAGATTTTGTTCTCTGAGCTAAAGCGATTATTCACTTACCAGTTCTCAAGGTTCCACACATTTAGCTGTAAGTTTTAGGTTGGAACATTACACACCTAAAATAAATGATTTCACACACAATTTTAAAAGAAATACGATGGTTCTTGTATGTCTGAAGATACTTCCGATCGTGTGTCTGTTTCGCAGGATACAAACGGTATTTATTCTTTGCAATGTTCCTTTGGGTTCTGCACGTTATCCCAAGTTTTCTCTTTCTCCTGTTGAAAAATCACTGTCACTTTCCTTTTCATTATTCTATACATCGACCTTTCGCCTGCTTACTCATTTTATTTCATCGTTGTTATCTTCATCACTGCTTACCTTCTCTCTATCGTCAATGCATATACGTAATTTCATTCTTCATCAACAAAAAATCGAATTCATGTTCACTTAAAGTGATTTTTTCATCATATTCCATGCTTAAAGGGCTCCGCAACTTTGAAAATAATATTCGTATTGCCACGACTGTCGAATCCGAACTAACGTCGAAGACGCATGTATAATAGTAAATCTAAAAAAAAACCTAGTTAAGATTAAAGATTGGCAGTTATTTTATACGCATGTATTGTTGAATACGAACACGAAGCGATATTGCCCAAACTAAACCTAAATAAATATCATTACCGCCCGAATTATCGCGTTAAACCGAGAGACGATTGAGAGTCACCTTTGGAGTGAGTTTTTGCATTAAATCAAGTGGTGCAAAGGGTTAAACTAAGATATTGTATAAAATC